TGTCATGGGCATCCTTATAGGGATCACATTGAATTTGTACAGTGCTTTGGGAAGCATTGGTATTTTGACAATGTTAATTCTCCTCATCCATGAGCAGGGGGTATTTTTCCATTTCCTTTTATTTCCTGAAGTAGCGTTTTGTAGTTTTCTTTGTACAGGTCCTTTACTTCCTTAGTTAAGCTGATTCCCAGATACTTGATTTTCTGGGGCACAGTTGTGAATGGGATTGTTTTTTATGTAACTTTCTTCTCTTTCACTATTTGCATATAGGAAAGCCATGGATTTTTGGGTATTGATTTTATAGCCTGCCACTTTACTATACAAGTCTATAGTTTCTAGGAGTTTCTTGGTAGAGGTTTTAGGGTTATCTAAGTATAGTATCATATCATCTGCGAATAGTGAGAGCTTGATTTCTTCCTTCCCTACCTGGATACCCTTAATATCTTTTTCTTGCCTAATTGCTATTGCAAGTACTTCCAGTACTATATTGAACAGTAGTGGAGAGAGTGGGCATCCTTGTCTCATCCCTGATCTTAGGGGGAATGCTCTCAGTTTTTCCCCATTGAGGATGATGTTTGCTGTAGGTTTGTGGTAGATGGCTTTAACTATATTGAGGAAAGTCCCCTCTATCCCCATTTTGGAGAGGATTTTCATCATAAATGGGTGCTGGATCTTGTCAAATGCTTTCTCTGCATCTATTGATATGATCATTATGATTTTTTAGTGCCAAATTATCATTTTACTAGAAAATTCTACTTTATAGGCTTTAAAAACAAGAATGACAAGTTAATAATATTGACTACCTCCCATAGTAGTGTGAAATAGCTTTATAAATGTGACTATGTCAGGAAATTTTAGGATTCAATTTATGTAATCAGTTTAGGACAATTTCAGATATGACAGTGGTATTTCACAGTCTGTACCCTTATGCAGTGTTTAGAAAGCACCTTCAAATCGATCAAAAGAATGGTGAAAAACATAAAGCATTTACTTAGGGAAGGAGGATCCCTTCAGCAATTCTCCTTCAACCAAACCAGTGTTCAATACCAGAGGATATGGTGCTCCTCAGCCCCTGCAGAACAGGCTCTGTATACTGGTGATACTTGGTATATCATGTGATGCCAGGATCAAACTACGGTCAACTGCTTGAAGCATTCTATTCTCTCTCTCTCTCTCTTTCTCTCTCTCTCTCTGTATCTCTCTGTATCTCTCTCTGTATCTCTCTCTGTGTCTCTCTGTTTCTCTGTCTCTCTCTGTCTCTCTGTCTCTCTCACCCTAAAGCATTTCATGTGATCACATTTTCAACTACTGAAAGTCTTTATATAAGCTACATAAATTTTATTTATTTATATATTTATATTGGTTTCTGTGCCATACTCAGAGGTACTCAGGAATCACTCCTGACAAGGCTGAGGGTTGACCATATGTGGTACCAAGAATCAAACCTGAATTGGCTAAAGCCAACACCAGCAACCTACCTGCAGTACTAACTCTCCAGCCATAGGTATATACATTTATGAATAGAATTAGGAATGTTAAAACAAACTTATTTCAGTGATTTCTGAATACACATTGAAGAATACAGAAAAAGCTATCTGTTTCTCATCATTCTATATTTATCAGTCAGGACAGGAAAAACAATCAGGAACTTGTAAAAAATATAAGTGCCTTGTATTTTTTATTATATGCTATTTTTCATTTAAAAATCAATTATGGAGAATTAATTTCAAAGAAAATAGCAAAATTTTAAGTGCCTATATTAATATATTTAATAAAAACATAGATGCTATGACATACTTACCATTTCTGAGTCTACCACTAGGGTTCTGTTTAAATGTATTTAAAATTTTTATTTACTTGTAGACTAACAAAGAAAAAGATTATCTTTACTGATAAGTAAAGAAGTTATAGACAAAAGTCTTATTTTATGGCCAGAGACAGAGTACAATAACAAAGTGCATGTCTTGCATGAGACTGACCTGGATTCAATCCCTGGTACACCAGATGTCCCTCAAAGGACTACCAAGAGTGGTTCTGAACAGAGCCAGGAGTAAGTCCTCAACACTGGACATGTCATAAAACCAAAAAAAAAAAAAGAAATGAGAAACTATATTTCAATTTGCTTTAAAAATTCCACATGAAAATAACACATATACCAATGTGTATTTATATCATTATTTCTTAGTGTAATATAGTCACTTTTTTATTTCCAAAATCATAAGAGGCTGGGAGATAATCAGTGTGCTGAGTACATGTTTAGTATGCTGGAGGCCCGGGTTCAGTGCTGGGAGTGATTCATGTGTGCAGAGCCAAGAATAGCTCCAGAGCACTGCTGGGTGTGACCTCCCAAACCAAAAGTAAAACAAATAACAGTAAAAACTTTCAAAATTGTAAGAAAGGGAACTACTTAATAAATGACAAGAGTTTGCAGGAACAAAATAATAATAAAGCTGTATAATATGATACAAGTAATTCACATCTACTAAAAAGAATAAGAGTAGATACTAAACTTTAGCAAATCTACTTTAAAATTAAATCATTTTCCTTAAAAAACAAGGTTTTATTTTAGAATTAGTTTTTTTATTTAAAAACATGCTTTTTTTGTAAACTATTAATGAAACTTCCATTTTATTCAATATTGAGCTAAAATTTTCCCAGGAAAATACTGAATTTGTGAATCAATTTAAACATTACATTTTTTAAAAGTCTCAATGATTTGACCCACAATAAGAATTATAGTTATGTTAATTTTTTAACATATGTTCTAGAGAGAAATAATATTAAATAACTATTGTTATATTGCATATAACCCAAAGTTTGGATTTAAGCTTTGATAAAATGTGTCATAAAGCCTATTTGAAAAGGTTTCAATGACAAGACATGCTTGATAAAATGAACTTAATTTGTGTTGCTAACAAATTAATTTGTCATTAGTCTTTTTTGTTAATGCTTTTTAACAAAGAACCAAATATTGGTGAGAAAACCAAGTATTGAGTTTGAAGATATTTTCTTTAATTCAGCCCAAGTTAGAATTTGGCATGTTAGAAACTTTTAAAAATTTCCTAATTTTCAATATTTTGATTAACAGCAAGAACATGTTTTGTTTGTGTCTATCAGTATTTACTCCCACTGCTTTGTTTCAAAATTTAGAGTAATAATTCATTTTTCCTAAGGTGAAAGACTTGGTCCCATCTCTACAGACTCTTAGACTAATTACCTTGCCTTTCAATTCCCACTTACCATTTGGAATAGGTCAGGGAGCAATGGGTGAAGGAGGGACACCGAGAAAATGATGGAGGGAACTGAAAACACTGGGATGGACACGATGTTGGAATGTTGCATGCATGAAACTCTATTATTTACTAGTTATTGTAAAATTGTAAATCAGTGACTAAGATAAAATATATCAAAAATGAACAAAACTGATTTTAATACAAGAATAAAAAATGAATGCATGGAAGCTTAAAAAAAGAATGAAAGGCATTAAATAATTGTAGTCTCTCAGTTACCATACTTTAAATTAGTTTTTATGGTTACTGACACAGTATGATACATGACTAATTATAAGTTGTTCCATTCTTTCAAATGAATATATTTTAAAGCCCGAGGTCTTACAGAATTATGTTCCATTTTATAATCTACATTTTTAAATTCTAAACTTCTTTAATTTGCTTTTAATGATATGCTTTCTAAGTGGAATTTTATCACTGAGATTATAAAATGTTCTGACCTTGTGATAATAATTCCTTTTTGTCAATATGCTAGAGTAATTATTTTTATAATAAGATACTCATAATTTACTATAATTATAAAATCTTTGCTTATATTATACCTTAAGTACAATGATAGAGTTATAGATTGGACCTATAATATTTATGTAAATTAATAGACATGCGTGAAGTTAACTAAAAGAGTGTTTCCTCATTTTAACACTTGCATTCTAAATAATTAAGCTGTAATAGTATTCTAAATAATTAAGGTGTAATAGTTTTTTACATTCACATGTTATTTAGCAAATGAAAACAAAAATTGACCTTATCCATTGATGTTTTTCTTTACACCATATAAAACAATAGTAGGAACATTTGGCAAAGTTTTGCTACAATTGCTCTATGTATTTTTTTCAAAAGTATTCTGTGTTTGTGTATATGTGTAAATATTGTGTTTGATCATAAAATTCTGGGTGGGAAAACCTTTTGTCATATGATCAATTGCTTGATCATAATGACAATAAACTCATTCTTCTCGTGTGTTAGTATGCAGTTTTTAACTTCATTGAATCTTTGTTTCAGTTTTTACATATGGTGCTCACTTCAGTAGCCACTATCTCTCAACATTATAATACTTGAATCTTTTTACTATATCCTGAAATTATATGGTTAAAATGGGTAGTGTTGAATGAGATAATTGCTATGGTCTTTGCCATTTTGACTGTAATACATTATTTGACTTTTAGGCCTTATATCTATATTTCCTGTTGCATATTTTTAAATCCAAGACATAATGAATGAAATCAATTTGAATTTCCTTTTATAGTGATTTTCAAAGCTTTTCTGCCAGCCATCAGATCTGGCCTTAATTGTTAATCTTTGGCATTTTAGCACCTGTGTATCATAATTGTGACAATTCTGGTTGTAGTAAAATATCAAATACTGATATACAAAAAATTATATAGAAAAATTAAAATATGTCTAATATTTTGCTAATTGAATGATTTTCATAGTTATATCACCTTATGCTCATTTGATTAAATAATTGCTTGCTAGCATAATGTGATTAAATTACTTTTCACAGGATGTGTAGATAGAAAGATCGAGCATAGATATTGTCAGGTTACTTGACCTCAATGTGTATGCTGGTATTTTTGATGACCATCATATTGTGAGTCTTTTTCCATTATCCTGTGCATGATTCTTATTATTAAAAAAACTATGTGCAAGATTTGAATGAATCCTAACTGAACTATTTGGTGTGGGTGGTAACTTCCTTTATTTTTTTAGAGACCCAACCAATCAAGTTCCTCGGAATGTAGCACGGTTGATAATCCTCTGCCAAGAGAAGGAGAAGAAGCAGAGGCTGAACCTGTAAATACAGATGAACCAGAGGCCTGTTTTACAGATGGTAAGAGAAAATTGGAGACCATATTTAACCTATATTTGCATATTATTTGGATTTTGCCTTAAAATCCAGTCCTTTCCATTGTTGTTTAGCAAAAAGATCTGTTTTCCTTAATTGAGCCATAATTCCATAATGAAGGGAAAGTTCCTAGAGCATTCTTAACTTTCGTTTCTACACATATAAAAGTAATTTGCAATGTCAGTGTGTGATATTGTAAATGTCACTATTGAAGGATGCTCATGTATCTCATTTTAGGTTCTTAATTCATATGCCAACTCCAGAACATCATTAGAATGCAACCTAATAGAACAGATACTATTTTTCTTACCAAAATTTAAGCTACAAACTAATTCTAAGGAAAAAAAATGTGATATGCTATTCACCATAGTCAGTTCCAGAATTCACCCTTACCTTTGTTTCTGGCAATCATCAACATTTGTGCTTCTTTGACATCTTTGAAAGTTCTGAATCTCTTAAACATCTCGAGTTTAAGTAAGTAAAGTAAAGTAAAGTAAAGGCCCTCCCGTTGATCGTCGATTTGCTCGAGCGGGCCCAGTAACGTCTCCATTGGAGACTTTGTTGTTACTGTGTCTGGCATATCGAATACTCTCGGTAGCTTGCCGGGCTCTCCGAGAGGGGCGGAGGAATCGAACTCGGGTCGGCCATGTTGGCCGCGTGTAAGGCGAACGCCCTACCCGCTGTGCTATCGCTCGAGTTTAAAGAGCTTAAAACAAACTTTAGTGGAATTCCCCTATATCATCTATGACTTCCTCTATTCTTTATCTCATTTACTGAAATCATGATCTTGCTTGAATCTCAAGTGAAATTTGAGTTAGCCTTATTTTCTTCCTTTTGAGTCACATATTGACTATAAAAACCACAAATCAGTTATAATCCCTAGGGTAAACCACAAGACCTTCAGGGGATCTTTATGCACACTAAAATTTGAGAATCAATCTGAAGTCTCTAACTTGGTATAGAAAGCCCTGGGCACATGCCATGCCTCAGTCTGTCTTTTTTTGGTTTGTTTTTTTGTTTTTTTTTTTGCTTTTTGGGTCACATGTGGCAATGCACAGAGGTTACTCCTTTACTCCTAGCTCTGCACTCAGAAATTACTCCTGGTGGTCCTTGGGAGATTGGGATTCTGGGAATTGAACCCTGGGTCAGCCGCGTGCAAGGCAAACACCTTACCCGCTGTGCTATCGCTCCAGCCCTAGTCTGTCCTGTTCTAATGGCACCTTTTTATCATTGCTTTTTACTTTCTGCCTATTGTATTTCTTACTACTAGAATTTTTCAGAAATTATTTTAGAAACTGACTTTGAAATTTACCTCGAAAAGTATACACATTTTTTGTTTAGCTTCATTTTGTTTTGGGGCCACACCTGGAGGTACTCAGGATTTGCCTCTGGCTCCTGGAAGACTCCAGGAACCATATGAGGTGCTGGGGATCAAGGTAGGTAAGCAGTATGCAGGGCAAACACCCTACTGGCTTTACTACTGCTTTAGCCCCAGTAAACACAATTGTCTAAAAAAGATATAATGTATCATCTAGGTTAAAAACAAAAAACTTGAGTAAAGTAGCAGTTTAATATCATCTAGATTATAGAACTGGGGATGTGACTCAGTGTAGAGTGCATGTCTTAAATGTCTAAGTCCCTGGACTTGACCTACTACCAGCTCTCTCTGGGATCTTATATAAAATTTGAAATCTTACAACTAGTCTCCTCTGTGAGATTTGAGAACCCTATAAATATACCAAAGGAATACTGAGATTAAAATAGGTTACACTTACAAATTAATTAGCACAGTATCCATCTTCATTCTTTTACTTTCTTTACTGCTCTTTTACCCTGAACCTCCAATGGGCAGCATTGGGAAAGATGAGTAAGGAAGGTTGCTAAAATCTCAGGGCTGAAACAGAGAAGTTACTGGTGTCCATTCAAGTAAATCAATAAACGGAGGGATGACATGATACAGTGATACAGTGATACTGCTTTTAAAGTCATTTGTCTATCTTATCTTGAAGGTATGACAACACTTACGCTAACTACTCACTGTCTACCCTTGGGCTTGCCTTCAGATGTAGGCATTTTTGTCAAAATTATTGATTTTCTTTCATTTTCCTAGATTTTTTGCCATCAGTCTTCTTTCATATTCAGGCAGTAAATAAAACGGCTGGCAAGTAGAGCTATTTATAAAGTAAAATTAGCATATAAATTTTCTAAATATAAGAAAAATTCCATTAGATTAGATAAGCAAATCATTATTATATTTAATTGGTATAAATATTGTCTATGCACAAATTACCATATGCTAAAAAAATTTTAAGTGTTGATATGAAAGACATTTCAAAATTACACTTACCTTTTTTCCTGGTTTACTGGATAGAGTCATGTAAACTTAAATCTCTACAGTGATACCAAGATTTCCTCTATTCATTTTAGAAATAACTCTATCCTATAATTCTTGGATAATTATAAAGAAATTTGGCTTATCAAAAAATATTATGGCTTCGTATTCCTAAAAGTAGTTCTGAAAAATATAAGCTATATACAGAAAGTATTAGTGCTTACTGTAGGTATTTTCTTACTGAGATGAAGTCTTACAAAGACTACTTTAATCTTAAAAACATCAATGATATTATGTAATAATTCTGAGATTATTCAGGACTTGTAAAATATAATATACAACAGATAATTTAGAAACATTTTAATGAACTTTACACCACTAAAATTTTTCTGAAGGCCAAAGAAATGTATAGGTTTTAGAGTGTAATGTTCAACATGACTATAGTTAAGAATACTTTATTATTTATTTGAAAGTTGAAAAGGTATATAGATCTTAAATATTCTCACCATGTATACACACACATACATAATAAATTGGTGGTTATATGAGATCATGTATCACTGTCACTGTCCTCCCGTTGTTCATCGATTTGCTCGAGCGGGCCCACTAACGTCTCCACTGTGACACTTGTTACTGTGTTTGGAATATCGAAATCGTCACGGGGAGCTTGCTAGGCTTTGCCCTGTGGTCGAGATAATCTCAGTAACTTGCCAGGCTTTGCAAGAGGGGCAGAGGAATTGAACTCGGGTCGGCCATGTTGGCTGCATGCAAGGCATACGCCCTACCCGCTGTGCTATCGCTCCAGCCCAAGAAATCATGTATATGCTAACTAATTAATTACAGTGATTATTTGACAATATACTTATACCACAGTATCAAATTATATACTTTAAATATGTATAGCATTTAATTATTAATCATTCCTTAGTAAATCTGAGGAAGAAAAGAACAAACAAAAGTCAACCAATAAAGATAGAAGTCAGACTGGTCATTTCTTTCAGAGGTACAGATTCGAAAATGGCATGAGAATACTTTATGGATGTAGAATATATATTTATGCACATATGAATTTTATCGAGCATCCTCCACCCAGATCCTCCAAATTCCAGTAGGCGGGGGTCACACCCACCACCTGGCCCCCTGGCGCCGTGTGATCCCATCAACGGCCAAGACTCAGAGACTATAAAATCCAGCTCCCGGAACTGCGCGGCCGCGGTTATCAGGACATCTTTTTATGACATCTTATCATCTCATTCCTACTTTGGACAAACTTGCAGGCTATAGAATGTAGCCTGCCCACAGGGCAGAGTCTGGCAAACTCCCCGTGGCGTACCAAATATGCCAAATACCAGTAATAATGATGGGTCTCATTCTCCTAAAGAGCCTTGAATATAGTCTCAGGGTTAGGATGAAAGAGACGTTACTGGGGTCTGCTTGAGGCAATCGACGAATAACAGGATGATGAAATGAAATGAAATGAAATGAATTTTATAGATGTTACATGTTTTTATACACATCTCTATTATATATCTATCTATATGAGTAAATATCTATACTAAAATGCCTATATTCTCTGCTGTATGTATGTTCTATTTCAATAAATTTTTTTACTTAAAGCTAACTTGAAAAAGATTTTACTGGGAATTAGCACCTTTGAATGGCATCACTTTGAGCCGCTTTAGTCCATTGGAGACTTCATACCTTTCAAACTTTGATTCATTAATCTTTAATTCAGATAATCTTCAAATACCTTCATATGCCAGGTTGAGGCTTAAGCAACAAAAAGCAGCAATATTTCTTGCTCAAATAAATTTGTAATTATATAGAAGGTCAGAGAAGTGATTCAAGTTATGGAGAACTAAAAAGAAAAGGTAGATTCCAAGGTTAAGGGGTCGGAACCTTGTGTCTAATAGAGAAGACTTCTCTTTAAAAGTAACATTCAGAGACCCGAAGAAAAGTGAAATAGTGTGTGCAAATACATGGAGGCAGATTATTTTAATCATAATAAGAAAGGTTCATGCTCGGGGGGGGGGGGGGGTCGGGATACCTGACATTTGCAGAAAAATCTTAGGACCACTGTTAATAGAATATATTGAGAGATGGGACTATTAAAATCTGAGGTCAGAGTCATAGTAGAGAAAAGATCACAAGAGCTTTATTGATAATTCATTTAAAAGTCTGTTATCTGAAAAGTAGATGCACGAATAACAAGGACAGAGACTGGGAAACTTCTCAAATGTTGCAGCAGTAATCCAGGTAAAAAATGATAAGCGCTTTGGGGCTGGAGAGATAATACAGAAGAGAGTGCACTACTTACTTAGTGCATACTTACTTTGCACACAGCATACCCTAGTTCAGATTTGATCTCTGGCAATCCATATGGTTCTCTGAGCCCTACCAGGAATGATCTATGAGAGCAAAGGCAGGAGTAAGCATTGAGCATCACTAGATATACTCTGCTTCCCTAACCCTGACAGAGAGAGAGAGAGAGAGAGAGAGAGATGGTGGGAACTTAAACTAGTGTTGTAGAGCTGGGAATTCTGAAAATGTGAGATTCTGAGCATTTTGATGTTAAAACCGAAAGTATTTGCCTATGGATTGTTTGGATGCTAGTCTGTGAAAGAGAAGTCTAAAATGAAACCAATTTCAGGGC